AAATATATAATTCTATCCTTGTCCCTATTTCTTTCATTCCTAGACACTACTGAAACTAGAAGCTGTCTAGATTTCTTTTGGGTGCTCGTATTCATTTTGGGGATGTTAAGGTACCACGAGCAGATTCTGATCTAAATCAAATTTGTTTTTAGAGAGCTGGGTTAGAAACCTATGACACATAGAGGACAAGTGAAGCTTTAAAGTCTACTGTATTTATTTCTACAATTCTCTCTCTCTCTCCATAACAGTCTTCAACTCTTATGTATTTTAGAAGGGGAAAAAAATGACAATTTTAGGATGGGAAAGAAATGACAAAATAATTAATCCTGACATAATCTGTAGAAGTGCATCCCAATATCATAATAGTGATTCTAATTAAGATGCAGCACTGTCAGGAAACTAAGTAACAGGTCACATGGGTGTGTCTCAAAACACTAGTTACAAAAATACTGCTCAAGGGCTCATTATTTGCAAACCTGCTTTACTTATATATGGTATATACTTACATTTATATGATACAAGCAGTGTTTGTAGTGAGTCAAATTAAGGCTGAAGCTAAATGTGATGAACACAGCATCACTAACAAGTCAATACTACCTCAAGCTTTGCAGTGCCTAACCTGCAATTTGATGCTATACTATTAATTTTCTAAAAGATAACAGACTATGAAACCATGCATACTCTGACCAAGCACTACTAAGGTTGTATCCCAAAGAGATTTTTTAAAAAAAGGCCTATATGTACAAAAATATTTATAGCAGCTCTTTTAATGGTGGCAAAGAACTGGAAATTAAGGGGATGTCCATCAATAGGAACAAGCTGTTGTATATGATTGTGATGGAATACTATTGTAATACAAGAAATGATGAACAGGATGCTCTTAGGAAAATCTGGAAAAGACTCATATGAACTGATGCAAAGTTAAATGAGCAGAACCAGGAGAACATTGTACACAGTAACAGCAATAACGTATGATGATCAACTGTGAATAACTTAGCTATTCTCAAGAATCAATGATCCAAGACAATTCTGAAGGACTGATGATGAAAAATGCTATCCATCTCCAGAGAAAGAACTGATGGAGTCTAAATGCAATCAAAGCACACTTTTTTTAAATTTATTTTTTTTTTGGGGGGGAGGGGCTGGGTATCTGTGTTTTCTTTCACAAAATGACTAATGTGGAAATATGTAAAGCATGACTGCACATGTATATAACCTGTATCAAACTGCTTACCTTATTAATGAGGGGAAGGAGTGAGGAAGGGAGAGGAGAAAATGTGGAACTCAAATTTTTTTAAAAAAGAATGTTAAAAATTTTTTTACATGTAATTGGGGGAAAATAAAATATTAAGTCATTAAAAAAAGATAATGCTGAGTTGGGTGGTTTTCCCTTTCATACATTTGTCTATCATTTTGGATGTATTTCCTCTTTTAAAGTCCTATTCTGATTGCCTAATTTTGAGATGAAGATGATCCTGGGGTCTCAAAAGTTATGACAGCACAACTCAACCTTTGGCAGGTTTGGCCATATTTGTAAAAAGGCTTGATTTGATAAGTCTAGTCATGGCCTGTCATCCAAGAAGCAGTCTGGCTAGGTTCAAAATGTCTAACTGTGATAAGGTTGACCATTTTTGGCAAAATGGGACTGGGATCTATATTGGTGGTGGAAGTGCTCCCAATGATGAAGCCAAACTTTCAACATATACTAAAAAAATAATAATAATAATAATAATAATAAATTCATGTCTATGTAGAAAAAAATTGCTTACATTCTCCTAAGCACAACAAACCAATGATTTAGAAAATCAGCAAAACATTGTGTTTAAGTTAATCAGAAGATAAATGTGTGGAACATGACCATGATTATCTTCTGATTGACTTAAACTCAATGTTTTGCTAATTCTGAAAATCATTCGTTTGTTGTGTTTACGTGAATTACGCTTCTGGGCGCTAGTGTAATTATTCTTCAAGGTCTTTTAGAACTGAGTCTTTAGAGTTTCACTAACTCAGAAGATTATTATTTTCTAGATTCTTTATTGCTTTAATGCATTATTGCTTTAAGCATACCTTAATAAAGGGGATTTAAAACTCACTTTCCCCATATAGTCAAGAGGTTAAATAGATCTAATAAAATGGCCAAGTTCTTCTACTCTGTAATTACATGGCCAATAGCTAACATTTATATAGTGATTTAGGATCTACAAAGTGATCTTATTTGATCCTCACAACTGTATGAGGTAAGTGCATTATCTCCATTTTACAGATGAGAATATTGAGGCTGAGACAGGTTAAATGACCTGTGTGCCTAGGATTACACAGCTATTTAGTTAGTTGAAGGCAGGATTTAAACTCAGGTTTTCTGGATTCCTAAGTTAACAACTTTATTCACGTAGTAAGATGTATATATTGGGGAGGGCGCTCAAAAACGTCTGGAGACCATGAGTTTGGAACTGTGAGAAGTTAAATGATTTGAGAAAGGTCACTTAACCAGTGTATGTCAGAGGTGGGGCTTGGGCTGAAGTCTTCCTGGCTCTAAGTCTACCTCTCTATATTCTGCCACTTCTCATTCCAGAGAAAGGTAAATGAAAAAAGATATAGGATACAATAAAAGCAACGTGAAATGCTTTATATCAGAATATGTACATGCATAGTTGACATTTTGGTGCTTGTTATGTAGATCTGGGTATCTTAGTGTCTTCATGATGTTGTCTCTCTCTCTCCCCAACTATCATCCTGACAATTTAGTTTATAAGTTTGGTTTTTTTAAATATGTCTATTTTCTTAAAATAAGTCATATCAGTATGTTTAGGGAAAGGATGTCAGAAAAAAACAATCCAGTGTCTCAAAATATTAAAACAGCATCTACAGGGGGAAGGGAAAGCTTTTGACTGAACAATTTTACCATTTTTAATTCAACTAATCTTGTAGTAATGAAAAATTTCAGTATTTAATTTTTACTTTTACAATGATACTATTAGCTGAATATCTTTAAAGTTGTTTTATAGTAAAATGTTACATAAGGATGGAACTTAAGAGTCTAGTAAAACCAAGCTGTTCAACCTAGTACACATCTTTTAAATGTATTTAAGAAATTTAAGAATTTAAGAAAGTCTGAAATTTATTTGTATTTATATCTGAAAAAATGTAAGAAAGTCTGAAAACATATTGAATTTTCAGACAGTTAAAATAAATGTATTGTGATTTTCTATTTTCCCAGGTTAAAAATTAAAAGTCAAGTTTTTTCCTTGTTGTAAAAATTAAGTATATATTCCAACACAGCTGCTATGGGATGGAAGGAGAGGGCAATAGCAGGAAAGAGAAAGAGTCCTAAATGACAACTTCCTATCCCTCTTTTTTTATGTACTAGGACATAAAACACTACAGTATAGACAGAAAGGAAGAATATTAATAAAGGAATTAGGGTCAAGGGATCCTTGGTTAAAATATTTACTAAGAGCTGTACCTAAGCTACAATTTTATTTTAAAGTTTTAAAAATTATTGTAATTTGGGGCTCCATTTCTCATTTTTTAAAACAGCAAATTACAAATGTAAAAATACTCTGGTCTTATTTTTATTTAAATATCTCAAAGACTTCAGAAATGTAATACTTTGCCTTTCTGGTAATGACACAAACTTTTAAGTTTTCTTTTGTGGTGGGTGGAATCTACTGAGCTAGCTTATTTCCTAAAGAATTAACAATGTTTTTCTACATTCTTCTGAAAAAATTCTAGTACAGCTGTAGTCTTCTTTAAAAAAAAAAAAGTAAAAGCTTTATTTTCAGAACACTTTGAGTTGACAATGTTATACTGTGGAAATAATTTTTAAAAAGTAATAATAATGAAAAAATTTTAAAAATAGTATTTTAAACCTACCCATGAACAAACTTGCTTATCTACTTTTATTCTCCCAAATTCTTAAGTCCTTTTTTTTTGGGGGGGGGAGAATAACTTTGGTGTTATTGTTACTGATATTTTGATATCATCACATAGTCTCAGAGTTGGAAGTGAATTTGGAGAGCAATTTAATCCAATGTACCTGGAACAGGAATCCTCCTTCTAAAAATGCCTGAGAGAAGTGGTCATTGTTAGTCTGCTTAAAGATCTTCCATGATGGGAACTCATTACTTAGTGAAGAAGTCCATATACCTAGCTTAATGATTTATCTATAGTCACTTAAATTTACGTTGGCAAATCTGATTTTGTTTAAATCTCTGCTTCTTTAATACTCTCCAGATATCATCTAGGGTGGTTTTCAAAAACATTTCCAAACACAATATGGTCATGGAAATATAAACATACAACCTTTAGTAAAATTCAAGATTCTCTTTAGTTCTATGGAACGATATCACTTTTATTTCCCCTCATCCATTCATGTACAGAACTAAAAATTTTAACAATATACCATAAACATTCAGTTAAAATCCTTCTGGTATAGATAAAAGATGGCAGGCGCTTCTAGTATGGTCCCTTGCCCACAGTAGGTGTTCAGATAAATACTTATTATTCAACCAGATAAGCTTTATATTTTAAAAGATAAAGGAATTTAAGTTTAAACTTAGGTCAGATTTGTATCCAATTTATTAATATAAATTAACCATGACACTCACTTAAAAAGTTAAATTAAGTAATGGCTTAGAAGAAAATATAAACAGATAAGGGCCATGGGCATCCTCAAGAAGTACTACAACAAATTTTTGGAACTTTGGATATGTTAAACTTCAACTTTCCTTTCAAGCCAAATATTTCCTACTGCTTAATCACTGGAATTCTGGAGAGCACACCAAGGGCCACACTCAGCCTTCATACTGTTGCAGATGGCAAAGTTATAAGTGACCAGGCCAAATCATAGTGCTAAATGTCATAAACAGAATTTCCTGAAGTCATGATTATTTAAACTAGAGTTAAATATACAAATTACAAAGAAAAATATGTGCAACTACTGATTTCTGACAAATTTGTTTTTCATGGAATATTTATGGAAAATTAAATATATTTCATACCTTGTGCAAGCATGTTAAATTCCAAGAACAGTGCTATGTGATAAAGCTCCATTGCTTCTTCAGCCCTAGTCAAATTTGGCTTTCCTGCTACCAGAGCCTGAACTTCACTCAGACTCCCCACAGAAGGGCTGCAGTGCAAAACTGAGAGGTCAACTACATCAGTATACATACAGTTTAAAATAACTTTAGCATATTTTTTTGGTATAATGGACTCATCTAGTATAATTCTAGTGGGAGTCCGCAATGTTCGGTCTGTAATTTCTTCACCAGTCCGTATCCTCCTTTGTAATAAATTTCGAAAAAATGGAGACCGTGCTGAAATAACAGCCTTGTGAGCTCTAAGCTCTTCATCTAAACAGTTCTGGTTTCCCACAAAAGCTTCAACTAGTTCAGAGTCTGACGAAAAACTGAGGACAACATCATAGTAACACATATAATCAAATAGTCCACGCATATCTACATCAAGTGAATTTGGTGTTCCAAATTCTTCAGTGAGCTGCACTAGTATATCAACGTTCTGAAATCTTGAATCCTCCACTCCAAATTCTCCTGTGTAAAGATAGTGTAACAAGGCAGAGAACATGGGCATGTCTATACCTGCTGTATTGATGTCCATTATTATCTCTGCTCCATACTCTGGGGAAGAAGAAAGCAGGGTCTTAAAGAAGGGACACCTTGCTGCTAAAATGGCGCGGTGCACAGGAAAGCAAGTTTCTTGAAATATTAAGTCTACATCCGTACAATACTTGTACTCATAAAGATCAGCCATATCTTTTTGCAGTGTTCGAGCTTCTGGTCGGGCCAAGCTGGCTTGCAGAGAAAGCTCCTTCAAGGCCGATGTTCCCTCGTATTCCTCTACTAATGCATTGACATCTCTTACATCCCACCCGAGAGGAGTTCTCGCATCTGCTTAGCATGGTCGGCAGAGCGGCTGGATTTCCGACGTTTAATAAATTTCTTCTTGAGGGTGGCAAGGCCAGAGGTTTTCTTTTTCTTGTCTTGTGGCTTCTCATGGCCATGGTCAAGACTATATAATTTTGATTCACATCCATAGCCTTGATGAGAATAGGATGATGTTCCTAAAGCAGAAAATAAATAATTAATGAAAGCTGTCTTCCCCTTTCTTTTCCAATATCATCTTATTTTCAGCAGTCTTTTCGATTATTAACCTCTTTCATGATAGAATTCACATCACATTTACTTAAAGCAATTTTTTTTTAATTTTAAAAGGGAAACCAAATCTTGGTTTTAGTAGTAGCATAGTGGCCTTTTTTTGGTTCTAATAACAACTTTTCCATCTCTTTTATAGTCAACAGTGATAAATTTTTATTCAATAAATCATTAACATATTTGCTAATCTCTGATTGGGCAGATACTATCTGGTTCACTTTCGAGGCTGATTATATTTGAAATTTAAGATTTAAATAGCTCTACATGTGCGTAATTAGTAAAGGGTTCACTCTTAGGGCTGTGTTTATGTAGATAAAACAAGTATATTTATATCATTTAACCATAAGTGGAGATTTTCACAGCATAGATGTGGCAATGATGACTGGCAAGTACAGTGAAAATAGCCAAAATGAATGGCCAGCTATCCTCTAACAGTCCAACTAGTATAAAAATTATACAGACAGAAGCTGAGGCTTCATTCTTTAAAAAAAAATATTATAACTTTAGAGGAAATGTTTAATATATAGCTCAATACTCATCTATTTAGTCTCTGCTTAAACAGTTCTACTAAATTCACTAAAGAACACTGTTAGAAAAAATTATTGAAGTTACCTATAAATGTTTGTTGGGCTTGTGGGTTTCCCCCTACCCTTGGGGAACATGAATGGGGATAGTTAGATGCATTAGCACCCATTTTCTTCAGTCACTCAGGCATTTCACCTGCTGGCTCTTCAGAGGACAATCCCACAATCCATTTTGAGCCTTCAACCCTGGATCCAAAAGCCTCTTTTCATCCATTTCTTAAAATCAAACAAAAATCATTACATTCATTTTTACAAAAGCATGTTTAAAATTGCACTTGAGAGAAAATATGAACATTTGCTGGAAAAATGCATAAAGTTGCAAGTACCTGCATCTGGGGTCAAATTATGGTTACAGTATTACAGGAGGGTAAAGGGCTAGAAGCTAAACGCAAACACATAATTAAATCAAAATGATAAATTCATGCTAACTGCATTTTTTTTAAGCTGTAAAAAAAACCCCAATGTTAAGTTAATGAAGAGTAATGAGTTAAGCTTTTGTGGGTGAATCTGAAATTTCATGAAAAAAATTACCTGGCCCAAAAATAACAACAAAACAATTTTGTGAATTCATAGACATGTTTCCTGAAGTCCCATAGCCCCCAAAATTACAATTTTAAGCAATACAGAAAACACTTAAGAATTTCCTGCCATAAATAAAATTAAGTATTAATAGATTTTCATGCATATATATACACTCATGTTTAAAATAATCTTTCATCTATGTCTTTAGGCTTTTTGTTAGAAGAGTAGGGAAGGAAAAAGTGTTTAAGAGTAAACTCTGAACCTCTGAGCTATTTGTGTTACAGACATTCCATAAGAAATTCTACGCTTTAAACATCTATGATTTTATTGATGTAGATGCTTTCTCTACAGAGGAATATTACAAAGTCTCTGTGCCTGGGTAGGCAGGTGGTCTCTGGGAGCTGATAGACCCACAAATTTGAGCCACTATAATTCAGGCAGACTGCTCTTCAGGACAGTCTGTCTCCAAGATCATATTCCAAAGCCTTTCCAGGTTGGATAGCTTTTAAGTACCCAGGGTTCCCTCCACATGACATATGAATAGGATTTTAGTGGATATCAACAGCATATATTTATAACATACCATTTATAATGCTTTTATATCATTTATATAATTACCCCCACTTGAGGAAAAAAAATATTTTTAATGAGTACTTCTTGCATACTTATACTCTTCTAAGTACATTAAGGTGATTTGCCTCAATGGGATGTTATTCTTAAGAAACAGAAGGTACCTTCGTTGACAGTACTACTATCTACACAGTCTACTATTTCTAGAGTTATTTTCAATTTTCCTTTCATCACTCAAATCTAATTAGTTGTAAATAATGATGATGAACATCTTCTTTCCCTCCTTAACTCCTTTCAAGGTTCAGTCCAAGTGCTATACCCAACAGGAGACTTTTTTTGTTTCCTGCAGTTGTTAATGCTGCTTCAAAATTATGTTTTACTAATTCATTTTCGTACATGCCATTTTCTCACAATATAATGTAAGCACTTTGAGGGCTAGGACTATTGTTGTATCCTCACTGCATAACACAGTCCTTGGCACATAAGAGGTGCTTAATTCAACTCAACAAGCATTTTTATTAAACAATAATAGCTGATTATATATATGTATATGTATATTTACATGTGTGTGTGTTGCTGTAAAGTTTGCAGCACACTGTACATACACACTTTACTGAGCCTTACCTGTGAGGTAGGTAACAGGTATTATTCCCATTTTACAGATAAGGAAACTGATGCTCAAAAAAGTGAGTGGCCCATGGTTACATAACTAGTAAATGTCAGTTAGGAATTGAACAGACTTTTCTCATTTCTAATCAAGGCTTTAATACCATGTTGCATACTTATGTCCCTCTATATTAAGGTGATCTGCCCCCAAAAGGAATACTAGGGCTAGTTCTCTCCCTCAAACACAAGGAAGGTGACTGGCCCAAAGGGCCTAAAATAAGTTGATTAGGATTCCTGGTTGCTTAACGGTACAAAAAAGTACAAAGTACCCTTCAGGTTTGGCAGATGTCTCAGAGCTATGCCAGTCACCACATCCTGCCCGCTGACCAGATCTATTTCTATTTGGAGATTAAGGGAGATGTGCCTAACCAAGCCAAATGCGATATATCTCTATTGAGTATCCTTTCATGCTATGGCTAAGTAAGCCTCCTTTTGTGAACTACTAAATATTCTATATGTCTTATTTCTTTCCAATTTTGAACCTGAACTACCAGAATAGCCTATTTCAGGCTTGGCCTACTACCCATATCATATGCAGATGACTGCTATATCCAGTGGCCATGTCTCAATTTGTGACCCTTCTGAACTCTCTGACACTGTTGATTGCCTTCTCTTACCTACATACTGTCTCCCTTCTAGGTTTTTTCTCCCTTCACTCCTCTTCCAGTCTTGTTCTTGACTTTCTCTGGACTTCAAAAATCATACCTCTTATTTCTATCCTCACCTTGGAATATTCTGCAAGGCCTGCTCCCCTTCTCCCACTGGTGAGTTCTTCCTGAAGCTTCCATTTTGTGAAGGGGTCCAGCCCAGATTGCCTTCATTCCCCTGCTGGCCTTATTCAAAGACTTTCTCTGGACCTTGAAATCATGCTCCTGCCCAGGTGCCTTTCCCTTTTCAGGTTCCTTTTGTGTGTTGTCTTCTCCCATTAGAATGTAAGCTCTTTGAGGGCAGCAACTTTTTTTCTTTTTACCTGTATTTATATCCTCAGCACTTAGCAGGTCTTGGCACATAGTAATGTATATCCTTCCTATATGAGACACTGCTCTAATTCTCCTTTCCTCTACTGTACCTTCACCCAAGTTACCCTCACCATCATGGGTACCTTCTAAGGCTCAGTCTTGGGCCCTCTTATTTTGTCACTCTACGTTATCTTGCTGAGTAATCTCATGCTTCCTTCTCTCCATAACAGCCACTACCCCAGTAGAGATTTTATCATGTCTCTCCTAACCTATTACAATAGCCTTCTAATTGGTCTACCTGCCACAAGTACCTCCCCTCTCCAATCCATCTTCCACTATGTTGTCAAATTAATCTTCTCATGTCACTCTTCCTCTTCCAGAATCCGAAGGACAAACAACTAACACCCTACTATTCAATAAATTCCAGTGGCTACCTATTACTTCCAAGATCAAATATGAAGTCCTCTATTTGGCATGTAAAGCTCTTTATAACCTGGTTCCTTCCTACTTTTCCAATCTTCTTAAAATTTACTTTTCTCCATGTTATCTATAATTCAGTTACAAAATCTTGTTGAGTCTACCTTAATTTAACATCTTTTATATCCATTTCTTTTCTCTCCACTCACATGGCATCACACTCTATTTCAGGTTCTCATCATTTCTTGCCTAGTCTATTTCAATAGCACCTAATTGATCTCCCTGCCCTTTCTATTCCATTTTTCAAACAGTTGCCAAATTGATATTCCTGAAGCACAGATCTTTGTCATTTCCTTGCTAAAAAAGCCTTAGCAGCTTCCCCACTGATTCAGATAAAATGAAAAACTCCTTTGGCAATTAAAGTTCTTCATAATCTAACTCTAACCCATCTTTTCATGCTGATTGCACATTACTTCCCTCCACGTACTCTACGACAATCTAGTCCTATTTGCTATTCCCAGCATATTCCCTTTCCCAATATGGCGCTTTGCACAGGCTATCCTCCAGACATGGAATACTTTTCTTCCCACATCTGCCTCTTGAAGAAGGAAGGAAACAAGCATGTATTAAGTGCCTACTACATGCCGGGTACTGAGCTAAGTGCTTTACATATATTTGATTTGATCCTCACAACCCTAGGAGGCAGGTGCAATTATTATCACTATTTTACAGTTTAGGAAAACGAGGCAGGTTAAGTGACTTGTTGAAGTCACAAAGTAAGTGTCTGAGATGGGATTTGAACTCAGGTCTTCCTAACTGCTGACCTAGCCCTTTATAGACCTTATAAAGACCTTTATACACTGTATTACCTCACTGTCTCTTGAAATCTCTAGCTCCCTAGAGACTAACTTTCCCGATCCTACCAGTTGTCTGTGTCCGCTTAACTGTACATACATACACCTCCTTACCTCCACCCAAAATCATTTTCTGTTTATATTCTGTATTCTCCATCTACATACATTTGGTTTACCTCAGTAGAGCGAGGATCATACACTTTTTATCTTTTTATTCCTAGTGCCTGGCTTGAATGTAAGTGCTGTACTGAATACATGTTGAACTGAAATGAATCCACACTGCATGCAAGAGTGAGGCAAAGTATTGAGGAGGTTGTTTACAGAATGGAGGCAAGTTGGATTAGACATAAAAAACTAGGCATCTCTCTCCAAGAATTCTCTATTTCCACTTCAAAAAAACAAAACCAAAACCAACCAAAACCACTTTCACTAAATCTTTGCACATTTCAAACTATACATACCTACATACACTGAAGACATTTAAAAGTTTAATATGTGTGTGTATAACCTTACATATTAAATCCTCATTAGAAAGGTTCTTATAATATACATAAAAAGGATCCCCCACCCCAGTAACTACAAATATAGAGCAATGTTTCTTACTTTCTGGGTGGACTCGAAGTTGGAAAAAATTGAAAAGTTTTGTGAGAATAAGAATACTGTCATGTCTACAAAATGGGAAATGCATCACAATTACTTCTCATGAACAGAAGTAACCTAGTAACCCTGAAACAACAGTATGACAAATATTCCATCTGAATTTCATTTATTTAGCAAAAATTTACTGAGTTGTTACTATTTGAAAGCTACTTGCTACTAGGTACTGAGGAAGAGATAAAAACCAGTAACATATAATTACTGCCCTCAAGAAGTTTACTATAGCAGGAAAGATGCTTTAAGTGAACAAAAACAAATATAATGAAAAATAAAGCATGACAAAGTACTATAAGATGTCATAGAAAAGTAAGATCGGGTTCTGTTAAGGGGAGAATGGGGCTTTGTGACAGACACAGCATATGAACCAGATCTTGGAAGATGGGTCTTGATTTCAATAGGTAGTGAGAATTTGTCAATGCGAATAGAGTTGAAAGAATACAGGCAGAGGAAATGTTGTAAGCTAGGCAAAGAAGCCTAGGCTGTGTCTTTAAAAAGGCTGGGACAAAACAGTTGCTTAAGGGAATTTTTTTGCTTTTTCCTTTTGTTTTGGGACAGAAAGGGAAGGTTGGAA